AGACTCCACCCAGTTTCTGGTGATAAACTGGAGAGACAGGAACTCACTGTATAGATCCCACCACTTTTTCCTTCAGCATGAACACTGCTGAGTCCCTGTGCTTATGTTCCTGCTGCAGTTCCAGTAGCCAGTTGCTTTTGCACCATATCTGGTATTAGAGTCATTTTCTACATGGAGGTTGTCTGCAGAATTTTGGTCCAGCATATCTGGAAGCAAAACTCCTAGTGTCCTTTTTTAATAGTAAAATTTTATATTTCATATTAGTGATAATTAATGACCTAAGAATGTTTTTCTTAATTCTGCATCTTTAGACTAGTTATGAAACAAGGAAAGAATTCATTCACTTGAACATTAATTTTAACTCAATATATAAAATTCTGTATGATTAGCTTTGAAATTAAATTTCTAAACTACATATACCTACGTAGTACAAGTTAACTCTTGTACTACAAGAGTTAGTACAAGTTAACTCTAAGAGGTAGTACAAGTTAACTCTAAAACTGTTTAGTAATTGCTAATTCATGCAAGAGATACAAAGAGGTATTAAAAAGTAGCCCTTGTCCTCCAGTAAGTTTATAATCTAACAGAGCAGATAAAAGGAATGCATAAAAACTGTGGCAACATGGCTGTTCCTGATACTAGAAGAGAACATAGGTATATGGGGAGTCCAGAAGGGGGAAGATGATTTTTCATTGGAGAAATCAGAAAAAAACTTCATGAAATACCTGGTATGTGGGCTGGTCAGAAGATGACTATGGGCTGGGGGGAATCATGAAGAAGGGGAATTTCAAGAAGAAGCACCAGGGAAGGGAAAGTGGTGAATCTATACCTGAGGTTCTCAAACTTCAGTGCCTGCAAGAATGACCTAGGAAATCTTGTCAGAATGTTGATCCTTGGGCCTTAGCAGAAATTCTGATTCAGAAGCTCTGGGAGATGATGTAGGTACATGAATTTTTAAAATCACCCAAAATATTTTCATTTCGGTGTTCAGGGACCACTTGTCACCAAAGTTGCTGAGAGTGGGAAATGTGTATAGAAGTGACAGGAGATAATCTAGGTTAGTTGGAACTGGGTGGTAGAGATTCTCAGAAGTCTTGGTAACAAGTTTGTTTTGGGGCCTTTACAGAGGTAGAAATGTCACTTATTTTAGAGTTATACTTTCAGATATTTATACCTGAAATCATATAGTATTAAGAATTTACATCAAAATTCAGTTGGGCAGGCAGGAGGTAGAGAGAAAGGGTGAGTGTGGATGATGTTAACTTGGCCACATGCGGATAGGTAATTGTTAAAGCTGGTGATGGGTTCACTATGCTTCATTATTCTACATGTGTGCATGTTTGAAAGTTTTCATAATAATAAGTAAATAAAAAGAGATTGGGGGGAAAATGGTGGAAAAAAAGGAAAGAACAGACAAAGTTAGAGATGCACTAAGGTGCTGTGGCTTGTTTGCCAGATGGCTTGTCTATAAACCTTCCTTGCTATCCTTCAAGTTTCTTATCTTTAAATGGGGATAACAGTACATAATTGACTGGGTTGTTTGGGAGATTAAGTGAGATAATGTAATGTAAAGCACTTAGCACAGTGCCTGTCCTACCATGTTCCATAATAGAGCTTATTTTTATTATGATTCAACTTTGGCAGACATTTGAGCACCAGAGTGACAGAAATCTATTTAGAAAGCACTAGAAAAGAGTACAGGGTCCAGCAGAAGTAACTCTTGCTTGAGTATGGTTAGTAGGGTACCATAATCATGTCTCATATGAAATGGACAGCTATTGGAACATTTCACCTGAAATGTCACATGGTGTGCTTGAGTGTGACATTGTTATGTTACAGAATTACATGCTTATGGTTTTGTAATAAAAGAGGGGCATTACTTGTGCCAGACCCTGTATTTCTGTTTACTGGGGTTACTACACAAGGAAATGAAAATTGCAGTATTGAGCCAGAGAAAATAGCAAAACAGGTCACACCCACCTGAGCCTTCAGGCTCACCTGGGAGGCCCCTGCCCAGAGCTAGGTGAATGAGGAGTCTACTTTAGTGACGGAGGGGTAGATTTTTTGCCTGAACGAAGCCAGGGCACCGAAGGGATGAGACTGTTAGGGACCAGCCAAGGTATGCATTTCAAGGCCAGAGCAGTGGCAGGGGACACCTGTGCAGTAAAGGGGCATGTATGAGATCGTGGCCACTTAACTTGGAGGTTAGGATATGCAGACAATAAAAACCCTAAGCCAAAGGTGAATAGCTAAAGATTTTATTAAGCAAGAGCAAAGCAAAAGCAAGAATCAAGATCATACATCACCAGATGGGAAATCATCAACACCTGAACATAGACACTGGGGAATCCCAGAGACAGCATTTGGGGTCCGACTGGGAAAGTTCCAAGCAAAGCATCCTTCTCTCAGGTGAGATTCCAAAGTCTCACTTTGGGGGCTGTGGTTAAATATGTTTTAGACAAAAGTGGCTATGCACCAAAGGCCTTGTGTGACTTGACTAACCAACAGGTACCTCTGGGAGAAGGGCCAATTCTCCCTGGGAGACAGCATGCCTATATTTTCATTCTTACAATAAAGGTCATGGCTCGGGCATAAATAGGGAGAATTCCTAATGTCCCTTTAATCTGTCAACACCAGAGCTAAGAGAAGCAAATATAAGTGGGGACTGGCAGATGCAGGGCCTACCTTACTGGGCTAAGTAAGTGGGAGGCAGATTCAGAGTGAGGAATTGAAGGGGTTTAATGGGACATCAAGACAGGCTCAGGAAGTCTTACCAAAATGATCAACCAGGTCAGAGAAAGTTCTAGAGTAAGTTCCACCCTGAGACCCATGAAGCTAATGTATCAGAGAGGTAGGGAGCCATGGTGAACTTGCAGGGGGGTAAGAAGCGGAGAGGGGGATTTTGAGAGACTCTTCAGTTTCCCTGGGAGGCTGGTTGTGCTCTGTGAGACTGGTGAGGCAGTGCCCTGATTCGGAACTCTGGATTCCTATACAGCCTCCCACCTGGAATGGCTGCTTCACACAGACTGGGGTTACTGGGGTTTGCACTAAGCTGGGGGAGTCTTCCCTGTGGCCTCTGCTGTTTGACTTTTCTAAGAATAACCTGTCTCATCTGGCTTTAGCTGCAATGGTTTAGTCTAATGAAACATGAATGATATAGCAAGTTGTAAATACTTGTATTATCCTTTCCAAACCTATGCCCTTTTAAAGGACACCTCAAAATATCACTTGTGGAAATGCACAGCTGCTTGTACATGACCTGAACTTACCTCCACAAAGTGTGGTTACAAGCTTCCTTTTACATGAAGGACCCTCCCTGCCTCTGCCTCCCAGTCTGGCAAGTGCTCTGTGAGAAATGGTTTAGGTTCATGATGGTTATGAGAACCTAACTGATGGGTCCTGGTCTGAATTTGCTTGACTTAGTGATTAAGTAACTAGCAAAGCTTAGAGAATGGAGGCTCTCATTCTCAGTAATTTAATTATTTGTTTTAACTCAAAACAGCAAAACAAACACAAAAAACTTACTTGTATTAACTGGCAATATATTTTTGGTGAACATTTCTTTTAATATTTACTTATTTTTAGAAAGAGGGAAAAGGAGGGAGAAAAACATCAGTATGAGAAATATTCATCAACTGCCTCTTGCACACAGCCCGAGGGGGGACCAAATCTGCGGCCCAAGCATGTGCCTTGACTGGGAATCGAACCAGTGCAGTGGTCTTTCACTTTATGTGATGATCCCTAAATAACTGAGCCATGCTGACCAGAGCTTGGTGAACATTTTTAAGACAGTAAAATTACTCAAGGCATTTACCCTATATTTATTTTACTGCTGTAGACCTGTGCTAAATCTAACTAATCATATTAAACATGCTTATAATAACATGCTTATAAAAACTTTTCAGAAATTCAGAATAGTGACACTGATTTATATTTATTGATATGCAAAGATGTATATGCACAGGGAGGGGCAAAAGTAGGTTTACAGTTCTTATGGAAAATAATGGAATAATTAATAATATAAGAATAAACTGTGTGTTTTATATACTCACAGCTGTAAACTCACTTTTTTATACCCTGTATATAAAAAATAAGGTTTTAGAAGAACATTTTTGTTAAGCTAATTTTTTGTAATAAAACATCTCAAATATGTGTGTGTTTGTTTATACATAGAAAAATACTTTATAATATGGTTACATCTTGTGATGTGGTTACTAGTAATCTCTATTTTTTTCTTGATACTTGGGTATTGTATGAAATTTGTAAGGGAAGTAAGCTTTTTGTAATAAGAGAAATTAATCCCTTTTGGTGAGAAATATGTGTATACCACTTAAATTGTGCTTAAACATTATCAGAGATTGAAAGGCCTCAGGCTTTCTCCACAGATAGTCATTTACAAGGCACAAACATGTTGAAAACAAGCAACATATTCTAGTTAGAGGAAAATAATACTTAAAAATCAAAATGTTTCAGAGAACATGGTTCTTGTGAAAATTGGGCCTGTGTGATACTGGGGAGCTTACAAATGTTCAGTGTGATTCCAAGAGCTGAAGACACCCCCTGAGGTGACCTAATCTAAGGCTGCACTTCATGCTGAGGAAAGTGAAGCCAAGGTAATATAGGTTGTGGCAGAACCAGACCTGGGTCCTTGCTCAGGAAGCCTGAGCCCCATTCCACTGTCCCTTTCTGCCTTTGAGGTGACACCCTCTGATTTCTGGATATGTACACTTCAAACATTCCAAATGTTTCCTCTCATGACTTTGCTCTTCAAGCAAAGAATGCTGATATACTTAATTTTTGAAGCCATATGTATTTGTACACTGGTGAGAATTTAGCAAAAGAGTTGCTTTATCAGGTATGACCTATAACTTAGAAAATTTCATTGCAATATTTTTAGTTCCTGGTAGATGAAAGGTGATGTTTCTCAGCTTTCTGTGCAGGTCACTGCACTAACACTGCTCACTTTATATGTTGACACAGTCTTCTCTTCTCACTGACAGCTGGCCACATTCCGCACCCTCCTCTGCACCACGGAGGGCGAAGCAGCCACCTTCTTGCTAAGCAATCACCGTCCACCTCAGCCTCTGAAGGGCCGACGAGTGAGGGCCTCATTCCACTAAATGCTGTTGCCAGTGGACCACCCCCAAATGTGCCTGCAGAGAGAAAACAAAACCAATTGGGACACAAAAATTCCTACTGATGGTTCTTTCCTAGAATTCTAGTTTGCAGGTACCATTGTACTATCAGCCTCAGGAACTATCAGCCAAGAAAATCAGATCTCTTTAATCAAACCGAGTTGACTTGTCTGTCTCAGATTTGCACTCTTGGGTCTTCAAGCAGAAAACACTGTGTTATATGTGTTAAAACCCATGAAATATGTCCTCTTCAACCTGAGGGAAAACATGCTGGCATGGCAAACCTTAGAATGTATGAAATATTTCCCTTGTTTTATAGACCAAATAAATCATGTCTCTCTGTGATGTTTGTGAAAAACTTAAATTCATTTCCAGAATAATAGAATTGGAACACCTTTTCCTAAACAACTGATTCTGCTTAATGTCTTGATATCATTCTAGTTCATAAAAAGTTGATAATGTTTCCAATTTTAAAGAGAATTTGATTTTGATTATGTTGCTGATTCATGATGCCTTTGCCAAAATGAACAATATGAGAGTTGTTGGGAGCAGTGGTGGAATATAGCCACCTCCTGTGTCTACTGCATGCTCAGCAATAGCCCACACAATTTTGGTGAAGAATTCTTCAGGATGTAAGTGTCTGTTTAAACTTGAATGAATTGTTATACATCACATTCACTGGTGATGTTAATGATAAACTGGCTAAAGACTGATGAGATGCAGTGCTGGCCGACTCAGAGCAAGAGGTCCTTTGAAAGGGGGAGCTCACAGACACAGTGCAAGCTGCTGAGGCATGGCGATGCATGGCTTACTCTGCCCTGCATTTTGGCCACAGGGCATGCCATCTCTGCAGCTCATTTTTCTGTCAATGGCTGGGAAAACTTACCTGGGGCTTAGATAAATGTACAAGCTGTCCATATACCCACCCATTTCTGGGGCAAAACCCACCTCCCCTTAATCATGTCCTTTGGTCTTTAAGTAATTTTGCAAAGTGGCTCTTGATGTTCACTTTAACCTATTACTCTCGTATATTTTGTATTTGTTTTGGGTGAAGGAGGATGGGGTGGGGGGATCTCTATGCTCTTTCTGGTACAAGGAGTGGCATTATTCATTAACTTAGTAACCACACAGACTTGACTTAGTAACCATTAGACTTGACCACATGCTGTTATCTTCTGAGAGAAGTTTAACCAAGTTTCCTTGATTTTGATGATTTGTTTAGGACACCCCTCTTCTGAGTGTAGACTTTGTAATTGAAAATATTCTGATAGTCTCCTTGACAAGGTGTCAGTAACTTGTGTAATGACGATGCACGTGGTTGCAAAAGACAGGCTCCTAGAGACTGAGGCTAACGTCTTAGTCACTGTGATTCTTACCCTCCCCAAACTCCCACCCCAGTATCCAGCTTGAGACCTTGCAGAGAATTCTAAGGTTGTAGTAAATATCTAATGAATCAACTATTTTTTTCTAATTTTATTTTGTCTTTGGTAATTCTCTTACTGCTTGGGATCAATGCCCCGTAAGTCAATGTAACAAGTAAAATGTAAGCTCTCTTGAAAGTGGTTTCTTCTTAAAGGAGTACTTATTAAATCTGCTTGTGTAACCAGCTATTCTAATGGTTTTAAAAATACCAATGGGAAGGCGCTTCTTTAGTTTAGAAAGACATATTGTAAAGTATCCTAGTCTGAGAAAGAAGTGTTTTAAACTCAGAGAAGGTAAGATGTTGTACCTGTGTGGAGTGGGGATTCTAATTACTGGGTGTGAGAGGTACCTCTTTGTAACTTGTGGTTTCTGCTACAGTGTTGGGTTGGTTCAATGGTACGAATTGGATTTTCATGGACTAAAAATGTTACCTTGAAGATTATCTACTAATTTATTTCTCTCTCAGAGGCTAAAGCTGTCAGGACGTGTTCAAGTTGTTATCTTCTGAGACTATTAAAGAACTGTAAAAGCTAGTAGAGTTCTCTCTTGTTTCCCACAACATATATTGTATGTATGTTTGTTAGGCATTCGTATTTTAATTTAAATTGGATTCAACCACAATAAAGAATGCAAGACAAACTTTGAACTGTATCAGGGACTGTATCTGCAAGACACAGAATGAAATTACATTTTTACACTTTTTATTTAGAAAATAATTTCAAACAGAAAAACTGCAAGCAGAGCAAAAAACATTCTTGTTCTGAATTATTTGAGAGTGAGTTGCCAACCTGCTGCTACAAATGTGAATGTGTCCTGTGAGCTGGCACGTTTACCCAATATGACATGAAACATCTGACCATGAGGTGGACTGGCCTGTCATCACCTTCCTCCCTAGAGAGTAGGTATCATTTCTCAGTCTGTCTTTGCTCTTCAGGACCCTACTCTTTTGAAGATAATAGGCAAATTATTTTTTAAGATTTTACTTATTTATTTTTACAGAATAGAGAAGGGAGGAAGAAAGAGAGGGAGAGAAACATTGATGCAAGAGAGAAACATCAACTGGTTGCTTTTTGTACACACCCCAACCAGAGCAATGCCCTCAACCCAGGCATATGCCCTAACTGGGAATTGAACCAGCAGTCTTTTACTCTGAAGGACAATGCCCCACCAACTGGCCCACACTGGTCAGGGCAAAGGCCAGTTATTTTGTAGAATGTCCCTCAATTTGGGTTTGATCCCTGCTTCACTGAGATTAGATTACGATTATGCGTGGGTAGCAGGGCTATCCCCAGAACAATGCCCATGCTGCATCTCCTTCACTGCCTGTGATCAGGAAACCTCCTCTGACTTTTCTTATAGTATACACTCACTTTTATCACTGGCTAAGGTGATGTCTGTGAGGCTTCTCCACTGTGCTTACTATTTTATCCTCTGTAGGAAACATATTTGTGCAAGGATGTGCACTGAGATCATGTAAATAATCCTGTACCTCATTAAACTTATAATTTATTCACTTATTTCCACTATGGACCTAGCAATTTTTATTTCATTCAATGTACTCTAGTCTATTATCGTTATTGGCAACTTTTTTCACTGGCAGATTGTTTTTAATTCGGCCAATAGGATTGTCTTTGAGCTGGCCTGTGTCCTTCAACGTGTTTCTACTTCCTTGCTTTCTGATGCAATTTGCTATAAAAGGTGAATCACAATCCCATCATCTCACATTATCTGACACAGGATTAGTTATTCTGTTTCAGATACTTGTGGGTTCACTCTTCCTTTCTGGCCCTTCCTCACTTTTACTGTTACATCTTTCTTACCACTTTACTTCCCAACATGAACTCCAAGCCAACCAATTTGTGTTAATTTCTGCTTAGGTTCTGGAGGAACTGTATCATTTTCTCTAAATTAAGGTTGAGTCCTTAAATTTGAGTGCAAACTACATACTGTTGTCACTCGAGGTCCTGGCCGAGAAGTTCCCTGGATTTTGCCAACATAAATCTTTCACCTGTGTTTGCTTCTAACATACTGTGTCACTCCTGTTCTGAGCACTCAGTTTTAAAAAGCTCCTTCCCAGCCCTTTCCCTTCTCCTGATCATATATTTCTGTGAGGTCTGACCATGAATTCCATGTCTTTGTGCCACATCCTTTCCCAGGCACCTTGTATTTTACTGCCCTCCCTCTCATCCCCCTCCTTTACCCTCACAGAGTGTCTAGGGCCCTGTCCAAGTTCTAGCTTCTCTCAGAAAAAGGCAATAATCTATCTTGGCAGATTAGTGATGATCTAGCTTTCTTACTAGGTCATGGCAATGTAAAAGGGAATGTGTGTCTGGGTGTAAGTCAAGGGGTTATTTTCTTAAGGAATTTTGTAGATTGATACATCTTGATAAAATACTTCAGGTCCAGAGTCAAGCCCTTACTTCTACAAGGTCAGAAACCTAATTTGTTAACAAAATAAATTCCTTTTGCAGGTACAGACGCCATAACTGAGTTTATAAGTCTTATACATAGAGCAAAAGTCAAGTTATTAATGCATAATGAAGAATGCAAATCTTGCATTAGGTGGAATATTCCAATCAGCATGATAGTTCATCAGAATCAGCAGTTGGCTTGGCAAGTATGGAACTCAGAACAAAGGATACAAATAGAAGTAAGTGTTTTATATTATCAGATCTGGAATAGTCTGAAAACTCCAACTCACCAAAGGGGGATTTTCAAAATGACTTCATAAAAATAGAATTTCGTTGGCTGTACCTCCCAGAATTATCTCTAAAATATGGATTATTTTTCTAAGAGGACTAAAATACTTCGTCTATTGGATAATGTTTTCTTAATGTTAGATTATGCTTGGATAAACTCCATTAATATGTACTTCTGTGGTATTCCATTTTCTATTCTTCTGTGACAAACCAATTTTTCCCTGGTTCTTTGAATGTGTCAATACAGTCACTCAAATCAAGTAGTTTCAAATCTAAAGGACACTCTGACCTTTAAGAAAATTTTTTATGTCTGCTCTTATCTATAAGGTATAGATTATAAGACTCTATAGAGCTCTTTGGCTAATGTATAGAACTTTAAACTTCTTCTTATTTTCAGATTTTTTGGAAAGTCCCAGTACAGTCCCCAAGTACACACTGTTGATGTTACAGTATCAAAAATGATGTTTCATTTTTTTGCAGAAAAAAAAAAAGAAAATTATATAGCATACCTAAAATAATTTAATATAGCCTGTTTCTTCATTTCACCCTGTTTTATTTTCATGGAAATTTTCTTCCAGGAAAACTTAGCTTTTGATGCAGATGAGAAGCTGTAAGATAAAATCAAGAATACAGATGACATGAGAGGCACTGATTGATCCATTTCAGTTAGGCTAGTCACAATTCTGTGACCAAGTAGATATTTTGTAGGTATAGAGACTTTAGAAGACAATTTTCGGGGTTGTTATATAATAAGAATCTTTGGGATCCACAAAACTCCTACAGCCCTGATCCCGAGGGTTTCCCCATTATTGTTCACCTAACCTTTCCCTTGACGTGGCAACTATGCCCACTAGACATCTGCAGTGAGGCAGTGAAACAACAGGGCCCCAGCCCTTATATACTTGCTCCTGTTACATCACTTTACTGTCTGAGCTTTTTTCTTTAGAAACTGGTGCTTGACATACATGGGCTTGGAGTGCTCCAAATAAACAAGGAAATCTTCTGTTGTGTTTGTAGTTTTTCAGAGGTGCACATTTAGCCATTTGCTCACTCACCACGAGTCTGAAATTCGAGCCCCAGTGATTCTTCTACTTAATGGACTCTAAAGGGGAAGGATTCACAGGAACAAGTATAAGAACCATATGGACACAAACTAAGGTGGCAGTGGGGAGGGATGGAAGGGAGATGGGGAGCACTTGGGGGGTGGGCTGGGATGGGAGTAAAAGACAGAAAACTGTACTTGAATAACAATTAAAAATAAATAAATAAATAAAAATAAAATACAATCTCTGTAAAAATTAAAAAAAAAAAAGAAAAAGCAAAAGCAAATCTTAATCAGGTTTCTAACCAATATAGTCAAAGAGGAGGCAGAGAGTTCTGTTTTCTTGATTATGAGGATATACTTTCTATGGCAGGCAAAAATCTCCTTGTCACGGGTAATGAAAATATATCCTTGTTAACAATTAGTAAGATGTAAAGGATATAGGGACACACTCCATTTGAAAATTTTAATAAAAGAAAGAACTGAGATAATATCTATTACTTTCTAGTGTTCAATAGTAAATACTTGAATTAGTCCCTCTGATTACTGTTTATTGTAAATGTGTTAATTTACCACCAAGTCAGGTAATATTTTCAAATAACTTGACTCAAATGCTGTTGTTCTGTGATAATTTCATACAGGTGAGCTTACCTGTGAATACTCTGCAACTAAGTCATAAACAAAGCCAAAGTTGTCTCTACTGCTCCTGTCCACATCCTTTACTCCCCCTTTGTCTTGGCACAGAATCCAAGAAATACCATATGCATCAATTTAATGACTTACCAGACATACATACACACACGTGCACCCAGATGTGTGTGTGGGTGTGTGTCTCCACCTCTTCTGTCCTCCACTGAGATAGCTGGTTTCCTCTCTCCCCTCCATCTACTCCTTTATGGTTTGTACTTCTTTCTCTACTTCATTCCTTCTCTGGTGATTTTTTTCTGACCCATGACTTTATATAACATTCACTATATTGATTATACCTATATTCATATCTCTAACCCCAGACCTTTCCCTGAACTTCTAACAGTCCAGCTGCCTTTGGGATAGCCCCCTGGCATGTGTGATAGACACCTGACAACCCAACCACCCATCCACAACAGAAACCTCCATTCCTCTGACCTCCCCCTCCCAGGAGTGTTATGTCAGCAAACGGCATAAGCAGATCCTCAAGACTCACAACCATGTTCAACCGTGTCTTTGAACCACAGCCATCTGTGAGCAAGACCTGAGGACTCTTCTACCACAGGGCTTCCTGCTTCTCTTGCTCCCTGGTCTTCTCCTCACAGCTACTTGCTCAGCAACCACTAGGAAGAAAACTCAAGTCCTAAGTTGGTTTACAGGGCTCTACGTGGTCTGTGCATCTGCTGCCCCACTCTCAGCTGCTGTCCCATGCTCTGGTCTCCAACCCCCACATTTCTTCTCCCTCTGCAGGCCTCCTGACCTTCATATCTGACATTTTGTGCTAGAAGCCCCTCCCCTGGATTTTCACATGGCTCATCCTCATTTCTTCCAATGTCACTTCCTCAAAGAGGTTTTCCCTAACTGCTCCCAAGTTGCACTGTTATTCTGTTTCTCCTGACCTTGCTTTATGTTCTTCTGTAGCACTTAACATAAGGCACAGAACATTAAACTATTGATTTCTAATGTTGTCTTTCTGTCTCTACCACCAGAATGTAACTTGTTAAGAACAGGGTTTTTATTTGTTTAACCAGTGTTCCCAGCATCCAGTAGTGCTTGGCTTATGATAGATATCAATAAATATTTAGTGAGCAAATGAATATTTTTCCATGTACATTTAACATAACATACATAGTTGTTCAAAGGGCTCAAACTTACAACTAGAAGATGAATAAGTCCTGGGGTATAAAGCCCATCCTAGTG